CATTTGCATGTTCATACTCGACATAATCATCATTTACATCTTCCAACCTTGTACGTTTCGTTACGTGAGAATCTTCGGTAGTCAAACCAACTTCACACTCAATTTTTTCTTTACCAAGATCATAATTTTTTATCTCAGATGAATTAAACGAATCTTCATTGATACTCTGATGTACGGTTAAGAGTCTTGAACGAACCGATCTATACAACGCTGGCGAATTTTCAAAAACAGGAACTTTCTTCTTTGTAGCAGAACTGATATCGACATAAGAAATATCAACAGCATATATGTATAGATCCTTATCAATAATTTCTATTTGCCCTACGCCAAAAAGCACTAACTCATTCAATCAAGAAGAATTCATTAAATGTTTAAACCGAGAATTACGGTATGGAAAAATGATTTTAATTGTGAAACTATAAACTTGCCCAGCATAATCTTTACTAATACATTAATTATTGCGTTTTCACTATTAATCTCCTTTGGTGCATCTTGAGCAACACCAACAAGAGAAACTTTTAATGGATACCCTATTTGAACCAAGATCTCTTTTGATTGCGAGGTGGGTTGATGACGCGATGGTCATCAGAATTTTTTTAAAAAAAATTTCAACAAACATTCAATAATTTAACAAATAAAATTCCCATTATAATTTCCAAGTACAACTTTTCCACTGACACAATAATACTTATTTAATTCAAAAATTGACTGTGAACTAGATCTCTTTCTTTTTTCATTCATTGGAATAAATAAGGACAAATCTAACTGGCAATCGTCACTCTCAACAGGAAAAACACCAAATGCCCGTATAGCGATCAATTTCGAATCATTGTTGCAAGTTTGACGAACCTTTATCTTCACAATTGTATCGCCGTGACAAGGCATAACGAATCGCTGAAATATAAAAGAAACTTTATTTTTACTTGAGAAAAATGATTAATAAATAAAACGACAATAAATTACATCATCTAAACCTCACATTCGAAATTAATAAAATAAATTATATCCAAATGAGGTCAAAACTCGCCTTACTCATATTTTATAAAAAATTAGCATGAAAATAAATATCAACAAAAACTAACCTCAGATAGAAATACTAATAGTTAGAGTCGTTAAAAATTCATAAATTACTATATAAATACGATTAAATATACCAATTAAGAAACTTCATAATTTTATCTCAAAATTTACTTTATTAATTAATAGATAGGAGCACACCCTTTGTACTACCGGTAGTACATTTTATAAAACTCATAGTGAGCCCAAAAATCAACA